TTAGTGCCCTTTCATTTTCAACAATAAATCCATTGTGCAAATAATTTGTTGTCTAATATAAACCGTAAACGGTATTACTTTACTTTATTACAGGACCATTTTCAACCGGTGAAAAATAAATCTATTCTAATAAGTTCAGCTTATTGCCTTCATGGATCTCCCAGTTACAAATATCGCGTGACTACATACGACGTCCAGCACCTCCAGAGGTTAACTTGTCATAAGTTATGACGTCACGAATGCAAGTACTCCATTTTTTCAGACATGTATCTATCATTGTTGGCAAGTAAATGCATATTTAATGATCCGATACTGAGTTAAGTGATGACATACACCGTCTACACAACTACAATTGCACAGAGAGTGTAAAACACCGGACCACCTATACAATACCCGGCGAGAGACCGATCCCAAGGGGTCGGGAACTCACTAGCTTTGTGAAACGCTGGCAATTTCAACTCTTTGACTCAATGCTCAAATGTTAGGGGTCTTGTTCCTTTATTATGGTGTCAAGATTTGTTCTAGTACTCGGTAACTGGTGTAAGGTTGAAATGTTTTGTTTCAATTCTGGTAGCTACATTTGCTTAATTGCATGATAAACAGAATCTTAATTTAGCTGGAATGCCAGCAAATTTTTTGCGAGAATATACTTTTATATTTTAATAATTCATTGTATTGTGTATGTTAAAGGGTATATTGTGCAAAGTTCCGACTGTACAGATGTATGAAACGTCATTTCCGGAATAATATAAAAAAATGATACTGTTTTTAAAAAAATACAAACAAGGCACCCTAACTCAGTGATTACACTAGTATATTGTTTACAAATCTAGCCTAATTTAGGATCTTGCTTAAAGTCATATTATACAGGCTAATTGTCATTACCTACCTAAGATCTCAACATTTCATAATGAATATATTGGTCAGGGGTGATACTTTACAAATCTATGAAGCGGGAACGGAAATTACAGTTCCAGCAACACTACGGAGCGAAAATCCCAGAGAAGCTATGCGTAATCCAGATGATATGAATCGACATGCGTTTGGGGGGCATGGCCCCCTGGCCCCCTCTGGATCCGCCACTGGGAAATTATACAATCTTACTCGACCGACGTTGACATGCGTGTTAATGTTATTACGACGGAGTATATTAAAACGATTATTCTGGTATATTCCCTGTCACCATGATTCAACTGGGTAGAAATTCTTCATCATTCACATTCATAAAATACCGTATTCGTAACCACAAGTATCGTTTATTTTTTTTTTATTCCGCAGAAATATGGTTGTCGTCGTTTTGATCGTAGCACATGAGTCCTGAGATACAACCTGAACAAGGTACATTAAGACGACCATTGGGCTACACTTTCTAGTCTCTGAACGTTATGTGTATTTTTCATTTCGTGGCACCCCCCCCCGAGTATAGCAGCTGTTCTGGTCACATGATGTCAGAATTCCCAACAATCAGGAACGCGAACTACTTCAGATAGACGAAAATCTACATCACATTATAACACGTCGTCTTTTTTCAGGCGCAAATGAAACGTGAAACGAACATTACATATATCCCGAAATAAAAAGACGCAATTCAAATCAATTTCCACATAGCCCTTTGACCTGCGTGTATCACCTAACGCCTCACATCCACTGTCCTCGACATTTCACAGCATATGTGGATTATTTGCCGCCGTGTGTTACTAAAAAAATAATAGCTCACTCACTGACATTGAAACAGCCTAAATACAGACGCCAAATTTGACTGACCATCTCCAAAGGAGGATTATTTTTAAACGTATTAATAATCTATAGCCGTTATTTTCATCTAATATTTTTTTATAATCGGTATTATTATTGTGTGTGAAAAAAATGGTAATAAACCATTTGGTGGGTCGTGTTCAACTTGAATGTGGGTATTGCAACCGGTATTGATTGTCAGATGGCGTTTAACAATTGTGACAGAAGGGGTTGTTCATGTCGATCACTGTAACGAGCATCGTGGTATTGTAAATAATAACACTTCAATTTATATATATATGTATATATTATTACTACAGTAGCGTTGACGTACATCTGAAATACGTTATATAGTGTATACGAGATCGCCCAGTAATACAGCAAGGTAACGAGTGTTGTGGTTATGGTATTACATGTACATGGTATGGAGTGCTGTGTTAGCTTACGTGTTTAGTGTTATAACGGATGGTTATTAATAGAAGGCCCTACCCATTTAAGAGTGTCGCGTTATGTGTCGCAGCGTAAACCGGCGGCAGCTAGAAGTGTATTGAATTAGATTCGTCGTTTCTTTCTCGGTCCCTTTAAAACAAATTAAATTACAAAGCAGCTTTTTTGCGGCATAACGATTAATGGGGCCCTTTGCAAAATTTGAAACAAAAAACAAAAAAAACACAGCGTTTAACGTGTGACTACTTTTTTCTCTACCGACACCGCAACGTTTGTTCCGAATTACGTGACATTTAAGTGACACTACGAATACTCAAAAGGCGACGTCGTTTTAGCGTGGCGACATGTTAACTTTGAGAGGCCGAAGAGTTAGACGAATATACATAAATACAAGTCGTAAGACAGCAAAATCGAGGGGCCCACAGAAAGGATTTATCAGCCGTTCCAACTGTCGAGGCGCCTGTTTTGCCGTATTTTCTTTACGTCAGTGGCGTATAGCAAACGTAATTCTAGACTTATTTGTAAACTTGGCTTCACGCCGACGAAGACAATACATGACGTCATTCGACGTGGTCACCAGGCAACGAGCGATGAAAGAAAGGTTTGGCACCGTTTTGTATCTAAGTAAAAGGCGGAGGGTCAGGGAAAGCCAAGACTGATTGTGAGGGTTGACTGAGGCGGAACAATGGGTGACGAGACACTGAGTATGTATTACTCTGTAAACAATATAGATGAATGGTATAACGCCATTGTTATTGTCGTTATAGCGTAAAAATAGCGTCATCTCTCACTGGCATCCACAGTGAATGGTTGTAGAAGACTAACTCGTATACATACACATCCGTACCAGTACGTTTAAATGTCCCACTTTTAGTAAATGCACGAGAATACATAATCCGCCATGTTTAATATTAAGTAGCTATTAGATCTGTTACTATAATTAAAACTACCAACCCCCGGACAGAACCGGTATTTTTTTAATGCTACTGATACTGAAACAAGCATATATTACATATGTGTAATCTATTTTATTAAACTCCGATTGTAAACCAAGTAGCCGGCAATATTCGAGATATGCTTTGTTTACGTTTGACTCCCGATCTGACTACGATATTGACGAAGTTACGCGGCACATCAAGGACATATCGTGAACACATTAAGGACTTACCTGTATTTCTCGGGCATGATAAGCAACGATAAGGCCGAGCAGTACAATTGAAGACAAACTGATCAACGACTTTAAAGCTACTGAATAAACGGCGTCCTGAAAATAGAATAAAACATAGAAATACACACAGCAATAACATGAATACATATTAAATAATATTGATCATTCATAACAAACATATGGAAATAAACAAGTTGATAATTGAAATAATTCATAGTATTGGTACGAAATTATTGTGAGCGTATCGTTTTTGTTCTACGCTTTAGTGTGTGTATATCCATGGAGTTAAAACATATTCATAGCTCCGTGGTATGCCATTCGCGCTAAGCCGGCGTTTCAATGTGTTTCTGTTTTAATATGGTGTACCATGTCAAGAACTGTACACGTATTGAAACTGCCCACTCAGTGACCACGTTTGGTTTATTTCACTGGGCACGATTGTCGTCTAAATTAATTTTCAACTCCAACAAGCTCATGAAATGGGAAAATCCGCAGAGCTCACGGCAGTGCCGTGTTGACATTTCAGTCGAGTAGTGAGGGTACGTTAAAGGTAATTTCTAACGAGTGCTCTCCGTACACTGACACACTGCCGATGTCACACGGCCGAGCCATATTGTCAGCTCGTTGACGTTTGCAATAGTAGAGTTCATGTAGATATTAACTATGATTCCAAGGAAGTTTGCTTGGGTCAGTGTTTGTTTTCCTGTATACAGGGTTCAATGTCCATTACACATGAACCTGTTGAACCCCCTTCCACTGTGTTATGCAAATCAGGAGAACGCCATCATGATAGCACACGACTGTTAAACTGTTTATAGAGGCTGGGTTAAAGAAGACAGTATTTTCCTCACCTTGCTATACACAAAAAACGATAGTTCTGTTTCCACGATCATGACCACAATTCCAAACATTCCTATTATTAGCGCATAATCGCTAAGTCTTTTCCTTTTCTCAAATAGAGTTCTCCGTAATCCAAGCCTGTAACTTACATGGTGGTTGCTCGCGTTTGATCTCGATCGCCGTCTCTGCGCATCCGTCGCCGATGGTTTCTTATCTTGTGGTTGAAAATGCGGACGATTTAGATGGTAGTGATGCTGTGGGCCTTGGGAATTATTGTCTTTCATGTCGTTATCAATATGTGTTGTTGTCTCTGGACTACGTAAATGACGGAACCGTGCAATCGCTCCGTTGACAAGGACGGAATCACGGGCTATTTCTGCAAACCTGTTCGGCCGTTCATGTTGTCCTGTGATAGGGCTCGGCACACTTAAACTATCCGCTTGTATACTGTCAGACGGCTCCGTTTTTACATGAATTCCGTGACTGGGTTTAAACCTGAGTGCCGGTAATATTACATCGCGGTGATCACACGTGCATTTCGGTTGCATTTCCAGAGATTCGTTAACGCTATACGTCCCATCGTTCACCCCACCGGAGTTCATTTTGTTCTCACCAGCCAAAGCACACGGCGACCTAGCATTTTGCTCTGTGCAGTCAATTTGCCTAATTAGGTCTTCAGTGGAATCGATACGCTGATTCTCATTGGCTGGCACGACAACAACAATAGACATGATTGGCTCTCTGTACTGTCAGTTATCGAGCCTCACTCTGACGTGCATACATTATATGCATTGGCATGTATTCATTTCACTTTTTGTTAATTTATTTTGCGATTCCATGTCGGCATTTCACCTCCGCTATACAGTCAGTTCTTTCAAAACAAACTTTAAAGTATTATGAACAAAACACGCCGAGTATTCTATCAAATTCATCACGCCTTTTGTATGTATTCTAAACAGAGTTTATAATAAGCTCAGCCCACGCACAGTGCGGTGAATGTGCAGAGAATGTACCCTGTCAGGGAATACACTAAAAATAGACACATTCCCGTCACTCTATTGTGTTTTACAATGTATATATTACAGTAACCACAGTTGGGATAATCATACAGCCTCCAATATATAAATACTATGACGTAAAGCGACTAAATCGAGGTTAGTGTCACGGTGTCACAAATATTTCAAATTGAAATTATTTATTTGATCATGACCACAAGTTGTGTATTTTATTTTCTACTTTGGTTTCTTCATTGCTGTACAGAGATATTGCCTGTAAACAAAAATGAAACAAGGATTACGTCAACAATTGCATTACATACAGCACCATGGTCGATGTGATAACATGTAAAAACTGTTTATCAGTCAATTTTATAATTGGTGTATCGGAAATAATATTATTAAAAATCAATATTATATATTCGATCATGATGCAACAATAGTTTCCATTCCTAGTCCTATACAAACGTGGAGTAATTTATAAACACATTTCATAATAGTTTAACAATCACCGTCCTTTACTGTTCTAGTCAGGTCGATGGTGTTGGAAATAAGAAAATTAAATTAACCTGTGCATAGTTCGTTGTTCACAGAGGAACACCCGAGTGCCGGGTTTGTTAATCAGATGGGACATGTTATCCAGATTGCATTGTGATATATACACAACAATATTATACAGAAGAGAAAGAGAGGAAGACAATCAATCGATCTATCAATACAAAAACAATCAATCACCGCGTGTATGTGTGTATATATATATATATATATACACATATATTCCATGAGCAGTAACAGTCGCACCAAATCGATCAATCGATCAATCGATCAACCATGTTTATACAAAGAACTGAAGGAATGAGGATATCACGCCAACTAACTAATTACTGAGTTAAAATCAAGTTCACCGATATATACGAGTAGTACCAATGCCAAACATTGTGGATACAACATTCAATAGTGAACTGATCCTATTTTTATTGTAAATATAAAAAGTTTCTGTAATTTAGAAGAATAGCCATATGCTATTGACACCCACATGTTTTCAGTTACAATAAGTCTAAAATAAAACGCCTATAGTTCTAAAAATACCCCCATCCGCTTGAAAACGGACAAAAAGTATCGGTGTTCTAGTATTAAGTATCACATTTGAAATGTTAAGCATATTTATGACGTCACATTATGTGGCCGATGACGTAAAAGCGAGTGATGGGAAATGTTCTGCGGCGCCCGCCACGTGGTTAAGTGTGCCAAGGTTAAGCCGATCAGATGGAATAGGATTCTATTAATACACCAGCAAGTCGAATTATTACTAAAATAACCTCATATCCTTCATATCACACAACATAATCGGAGATGATTAAGACAACGGCTGGCGATTTAAGTAACTCTGCGTCACCGTGAATTTTATAGCATTTGTGCTTGCGGCCAGCTCATATCGGTAACTATTTTATGAAGTGTCCAAAGGTCGACTTTTCTGGCTGATATGCCATTTGTCCTGTGGGAGTACTGACATTATATTTTAAATATTGTATATAGGCTCACTTCTTGCAAAAGCTATGGGTCACATTATTCAATACATCTCAAGAAATCAAAATGAATACATCAGAACTTTAAAGCGGGGGAGTCGTCCCCTGTGCATGCGGCAAACGTCCATAGCGTGTCGATGTTTACAAACCAGCGTCTACCCCTGAGCCTTCGCGTTTTTAGAGTGCGTTGTTACCGTCGCTTGGGACCCAATTCTCGCGCATGCGCAGGTGACGACCCCTCCGCTTTAATTTCGCTTGGAAGTAAATCAAATTAAAATGTTAAAATTAAAATAAAGTGGCAATATATGACAAATGTCAATCCAAAAAATGTTCAAGAACAATCTATGGATGCAATTTTTAAAATCTTTGTGTGAAATTCGCAGCTGTAGGCTCATGCGAATGGGACGGGAAAGGAGACAACAAGCTTAATCAAGAAGCACCCACCCCCGTGTTTCAACTGAATCGTGAACAAACTGCCGTTTTTCGAATATGCATGGTGTGTACAACTTAAATTCACTATGCCAACATACTATCATGCACACATTTTTGACCTACAGGGAATCAAAAACTATATATATATTTAATGTATTTTAACACCATTAAATTGTTATGTTGTTCCCACTGCCTTTGACATACCTCTAACAATAGCTGTTCCATTAAACGAAGCCTTGCGTGCAGTGTCACGCCAGCAATAGTAGTTTCACACTCAGATAAAATAATGCTTATATAACATGCGCATGCGCATAATTAGTAAACAACATGGCGGTGCTATGATAAGGGTAATGTTTTCAGGCTTCATTAATTATGTACTGATAGCCTGAAATCTTTGCCTTATTTTTTTTCAAATTTTCTTCAGTATACATATATTCAGTGAAAAACTAACTTAGCTAAGACTATTAAAATGGTGGCCATCCACGTTAATGAGTTTCTACAGTTGACACTGTCGTACATGATGTAACTGGACAATACCCGCTCGTTGACGTGCTATATATTCGTCTCAGGTTGCCGAAGACGGTGTCATTGACTTCTTGATGTTAATTGGCTCGTTAGAAGAATTGACAAGCACGCAATCTCCAGATTCCCAGAAAACGCACTCTGCATTGTCAATAAGTATGGGAATCTTACGTATGCATATGACCCTTAAAAAGTGCAACATCCCAGCGAAGTCACTATCAACGAGATTTTGCAATTATTGTTTTTTGTTTTAAAAAGTGCATGCAGATGACATTGAAATTCAACGAGCCAAACATTTAGGTATGTTATTGCATGTCCAGAATGGCAATAATCAATGAAAGTATCAGGACGTGTGACTTTTAGGGACCCCCACAAGTTGGTACTTCTGATCGACCAATCAACACACTTGGTAGTCCAAGTGGCTGTATTTTGTAACAAAAAAATCTAGTTTTATATTCGGGGATTTTTATACTTGGCGAATTAGTAATGAAACGTCTTGTATGGTGGAAATCTCGGAAGATTGTGACAGGCTTTCGTTATTTTGCGACTGCTCCATGCGTTGTTACAATATTAATGAGATATTAAAGATACCCTTTTTCATTATAGAACAGACGCCATTTTGGGGAAAAAAACGCGTCATAGTTCCTTATTTGGAATGTACCCGGTTGGTTCCACGCACAATATCACGAGATACACTAAATAGAAAAAGCGTGTTACGTTGAAGTGAAACTGTGATTTCTTTGAAAATGCTCATCCAGTTAGTTGATAAATGCGCATGCGTGAAGTTCGGTATTTCGTAGTATTGTTATCCCCGATATTACCCCTATCACATGGACAGAGAGTTTAAAATATGTTTGTAAGCTGAAGAGAACTCGGAGATACACTGTTCATACATTCCGGTCAGCAAACTGAACACGGGGTCTAACAGGATTACAATGCCATAGACATAATACGGACATTTGAGCTGTGTACACTCATTGTATCTTAATTGCTATTAGCTACTTGTGGCGTCATAGTTCATCTCTCTAATGTCAACCTATTTCCGTATTGTTGATTCGAAGTTTCCTTTAATGCGCATTACTTCAATTGTCGCCAATATAAATTTTCGAGATATGATATGGTGACGACATTAATGGGGAAGAACTTTTGACAGGTTAGGGTCTGTCTTGAGTGCCCACTGCTACGAACTTTCGTTTTCTCAGTCTCACGAAAATAACGCGGTCTATAGCATTAATGAACACGCTTGTCCTGTAGAATAAGTGCCGATTTTTTCGTACATCTAAAGATGAGATGACAACTTATGTTTGATAATTTGTGTTCGGTACAATCTTCAATAACAACAATTTGGAGATCCCCAATACTAAAATTGTAACATTCCAGGCTCGGCACCGTGAAACGTGGGGGGGGGGGGCATCGTGCTTGCCTTTCAGCGTGTCAGGAGTATATAGATATTCTGGTCGCGTTTAAAGGGCGACAGTCGTCGTGCCGCGTCCTGTTCGATATGGGACTCATAGCGACGTATACAACGCGTATAAAATACATTGTTTATTTACATGAAATTCGAACACGCACTGCGCGACGACCACCGCGCTTTAATTCAAGTCGATAGTGTTTGCCTCGTTTCTAACTGCGTATTAGTTTAGACGATGTCGCCCGACGGCCGTTTATCATCCGAGAGAAGCATGAGACAGCAAGAACTTACTAAGTTTCTAACTCATCTTTGTCGGAAATATGAGCAAGACCGGTGCAATAAGTGAATGCAATAATCACGGATACATGGGTAAACGAGAATAGAACGAGTGCAACGAGCATAGAGCAATGCCGCTGGTCAGAGATTTCAGATGACGCATATGAAACATTATACTCTGTGGGTGGATCTATAATGTGTGTACAGACCAGGAAAACGAATTACTGAGAATATCACGAAAATTGAAGAAATATGACGCAGGTTTCAATTGAGGCGTTTTGTATCGGCTGAATTTCGACTGAGGTAAAAACAAATTCTGAGCATGACGATTCACTTTGATATCAAGGTTTCAGAATATATATAAGAGCTCAATAACTCGCGGAGTTGTGAAGTCACTATATACTAGTAATTCGATGACCGAATCTGCAACATGCCAGACACAATGTATCTCTTCATCTCAGTTCCCGTATTATCGCCGTGTTGTCATT